CGAGGTAACCGCGGGGTCCCCTTGCCCAGGGGATGGGAGGAGAGCCCTGCTCCAGGCTAGGAGGGGGGCCGGCAGGGATGGGGAGGGAGATCAGAGGAGATGGGGCCAAGGGTGAAGACGCTGCAAGAAAGAGGAGGGAGCAGCCAGAGCTGACAGCTCCCAAGTGTTGGGCCTGGGGTGGGAGGGAAGGACTGACTGGGGAGCCAGAAAACCAGAAATTAGAAGGAGGGGCTCTGCCAGGCTCCCCTGGTGCCCCACCCTGAGTTCCCCAGAACTGCCTAGCAACTAGCATACTAGGAGCCTCCATCTGATTCAGATCTTAAAGATTCCTGGGGAAGAGGCTTCAAGTCTTCTTAGAAGCCCTAGCTTCTATCTCCGTTTCCCATTCAACGTCCAGGGGTTGGGGACTGCCCAGACTCCTGACTCCTGGTGCACTTAGAGGAAGGCTAGGATGTATGCTGGAGGCACCCGAGAACTCCAGCTCCCAAAGCTGGTGATTCAGGCTTTTCCTCCCGGGTCCTGCTTCCATGACTCGTAACCTGCCAGCTAACACTCTCCTAGAAAGCAGCACCAGGGGGAGTCTTCTCCCCTCATCCCTTTATGCTCTTGGCTGTCTCCCCTTATGTTCAACCATGGAAAAGAAAAAGAACTTAGAAATCATATGGAAACTGCAAGGCTCATGATTTGTTCAGGACAGGAAGCATTAGGTTGGCATGAGAACTGTAGTAGGTAGGTGTGGGCAAGGTGTGAAATGAAAGGGGCATTGGGAAGCAACCCAGAGACATGGGAAGGAGAAAGAGAGGGAGCTCTGAAGCTTCTGCAGGTCCCAGGGGATGGGCGCAGGTATGAGGAACTAGAACCCACCTCTTGGGAGTGGTTGGTGTGGCAACTCATGCCTCAGGAGCAGAATTAGACACACTGTCCCAGATGGGAATGAACACAACAAGGTATGTGAGGGCAGACCCTTTGTTACCGACAGTCCCAAGGACCCGCCTGTAGGTTAGGAGAGTCCCAGAAGGAGAAGGCAGAGAAGTAGACTCAGGGATGGGGAGAGGAGCGGCTGCCTCAGCAGCATTTCCTTCATTAGAATCATCTCCTAGGAGAAGAACACCTTGAGGGTCTCACTCTTTCACACCTCTCTGATTCTCTGCAAGGATGGAAGGAATTAAAAAGACAGAGAATGAAAAAGCAGGATACAGGGATAGCAGGAGAGGACACAACCCTGAGAAGACAGTGTGATACAGAAGAATCTGCTATATAATCAACCCGCAGATGGTGCAGAAGTGAGGAGAGGGAACGGTGAGCCCTGACTGGGGAGGCCTTGGGCAGTGATGTTCCCTGGGCCTTAGGAGTGCCAACGAAGCTGTTTGCCAAATCCAGCAGGGGAAGATGCAGGATGAGGAGGCACTCCACCACCCCCAGACCCCTTCTTTTTCTTGCCAAGGGAACCCAAACAAGTGGCACAGTTGGGAAGCTAGTTGGTTTGGAGGTGCCTTCTACCAATAAATCTCATCAAACTCTGCCAGAGTTTCCGTTTTCGGATTCCCTCTAGCCCAGGAAGGTAAGGAGAAAAGCAGATTCCTGAACTTGCCCTCTGGGTCTGGGAAACTGAGTGGAAAAGGGCTGAGCTCAGGAGCAAGGCCGTAGGCACATCTTCCTCTCCGGGCACCTAGGTAGGAGCTCAGAATTCAAGGAAATAATTTTGCTCAGGAGAAGAAGGAGGATCAAATGGATGAATCTTTGGGGAGGCTTACCTCAAGATAAGGACTACTGCTCCCTCTCCTATCTCAAATCCCAGCGCTCCTCTGAAGACTGGTGGTGCAGAGTGGTAGTGTAGCTGGTCCCAGGACTCGGCCCACCCGACTCCATCCCAGATCCTTTTATTAGGCAGGCTATCTGGCCTCACATTAGGGATTCTGGGGAGACTTGCCCTTTCCCCCAGGACAGGAACCCCAGTGTGTCTAGGCTCCCATTTCCCCCCACCCACCACTATCCGTCTACCTCCGCCCTCTGGTTTCTTTCTCCCTCCCTTTAGGCTCACCTAAATCAGTCCCTTTCTGCTCTAGTTCCCACGATGCCTTGGCGATGTCTGGCGCAGTCCTTTGCAGGAAAGTGAGGAAGGGAACCCAACCTGGCCACACAACAGGTGTGGGGAGACCTACCCAGCTCACCAGACCTTCCCCACCCTCAGGGGCTGGGCAACACCGCCCCCTGCTGTAGCGTCCAGCACAGACGGGGCCGAGCGGGCGCCTTTTGGGGCAGGGGCAGTTTTCCTGTCACCGACCCGGGGCCGCGAAATCTATTCCTCCCCGCTGTGCCCTTGCAGGGGTTGCTTTTGGAGTCTCCTAATCCGCGAGGACCCAGACACTCCGTCCTCTCACCTGGGACCCCTCCGCCTGCTGCGCGTCTCCCCACCCTTCTGTCTCCCGCCGTCTCCCCATCTTCCTGTCTTCAGCTTTCCTCCCTCTGCCTCCATCCCTCCTTTCGATCTCTCCAGCCTTCCGGTCACCTGCGCCCCCTCCTTTCTCGGCTCGGGTCGCGCCTCCCTGCGGGTCTCTGCGCCCCGTCCCCTCCCCCGCTCCAGCCCTTTGTTTCCCGGCGGAGTAGTTCCTGGGTTGCTGAGCGTCTCTGTCTCCGCATCTCTCCTCGCCCCGCCTCCTCTTTGCTTGGATCCGCCCCGCCCGCAGCCTCTCCTCCCCTTCCT